GACCTCTGCTCTAAGCTCTGGAAAAGAAGCAAACTACTTCTGAAATCTTGCCAAGAAAACTGCAGGGACTAATTCAGGCAGTCACCAGAAGTCCACAATAACTTGGAGGCACTCCCTTCCCCGCAAAAAAACGGGTTTATAAGTCACATCAAGTAACTTTCTTTACCCATATACATTTTTCTTAGGATATTGAATTTGTGTCATTTAAAAAAATATTCCTCTACTTTGGCAATTAACATTGGCATTTTAGCTCTGTAGTGTTTTTTTTTTCTTCCTAAATGGATCTCATGCTCATTTTGGAATAATTATTCAGTACAACCAGCAATTTATGATCCTTTCTGGAATGACAAAAACGAAGTTTGCATAAGGTACCAGTGTATAGTACTTTAAAGTCTATCCCCTCCAATGGAAGAATGATTGAAATATTTTATTTCCTTTGTCAAGAGCTGAAAATTTGTAAAGTTTAATGATCTTAGGTTTATATGCTTTTATTTCCTTTTATTTTCTTATATCCATAATTAATACATGGATATTTTTGATATTAATCTAGGTTTGAAATTTTTTTAGTTTTTTTTATCATGTCTTTATTATTTTTTATAAATAACTCAAGGCAGCATATGTGCATAATGCTTCTTTCTCTTTCTGTTTTCCCACAACAACCCTGTGAAGTGAGTTGGGCTGATAAAGAATGAGGCCCAAGAGATGTCTATGAGTGTGTGTGTATGTATATATGTGAGTGTGCGTACATAAAAATAAATAAAAGCCCCACTAATTAGTTTTCTCTCCAGATGAATGGATACTATTCAAAGTTCTAATAATAATGTCTACATTCTACAACAAGGTGTTCCCTTTCTCTTTGTTGATCTTATGTGTTTATGGGTCAGATTTAGGAAACCCTAAATTTATATGATAGGTTTTATTTTCCTGCCTGACAGACATTGTTGGATGCAACCCATTTTGTTTTAGGTATTTTTAAGCTACATAATATTTGTGCACACATTATTTGGTTACTTTATTTTGCTTCTCTGTCTCCTCCCCCCCACCTTTTTTTTAATATAGTGTCTTCTTGAACTTCAGATTGAAGCAACTTTTATGTGGAGTACAGACATAGATAGTGTAGTAACTCTATGTTTTAAATCCTTTGAAGGATCCAACTATGAAGTGCGAATGGCCGTTTCTAAGCTTTTAGGCTATGTATTGATTAGTGCTGTAACATCAAAACAAGCCACAGGTGAGTTTATTTATTTTTTCATCCTTACTTTGGTTCAGGAAATTGTAAGCACTACCGGTAATAAAGACCCTTCAGAATCAGTCACTGAAGGATTTTACCATATGACAATAGCTAATATACTAATATGTTAACATAATAACTAATAACATATCAACTAGCATACACACACACACACACACCATATACAAAGACACATATATACACACATGCATATGAATATTTTGCCTAAACTATATCAGACCATTACCATATTTAAGAAAATATATGGTCATCAGTGTGTGCTACATCAGAATAAAAATAGTGACAGAAAATATTTCTACTTTCTGCAGTGGTAAAGTGGGAGGAAAATTAAAGGGGGAAACAAATTAACTAAATGGCAATTAAACTTAATAGTACCCCAATGAAAGGAGAAATAGCATATGAGGAAACATTGTAAATAGTAAAAATTACTTAAATTTTCTAGAGGTAGACATTCAAATACCCATCCAGTACTTTAGTTGCCTCCATTCAGCTCAGTTTGAATGTTAACAATCTGCACTACAGAAGTGGCTGCCAGAGTCTCATAGATGTACCTCTATTATATGGATTATTTGATGTGTTCTATCTCCATTTTGATGACAATGAAAATATTTCATAACATTGAAAGAATTAAACTTACCAATTTAATTACTATTAATAATAGCAAATTTACTCTAGCCTTTCTTTTTTTCTCTTGGAAAGAAAATGTAGTCTACCTAAAGAATTACAATATTTTCAATTATGTAATTTAATGAGGATAAAGCTAACACAGCTTCATTTGGGTAACATGATGTAAACAGGTTGTATTAAGTTGCATGCATGGGTACATGGATATAATACGGTTATTTTATTAATGATATTTCTTAATTTAGAGTAACATTTGCCCTTTGACAAAGCTTTACAGTACTCAGTAATACAGAAACACTTGAGCCATTCATGCCCTCCATCAATGTTTTGGACTATTGACCCATACAATTTTTCTTCATTTTGTTCATAAAAGCCTTGTTTCCATGATAGCCTAATCTCTAATGTTGTTTGTCAAATACGTTGTTCTAGACAGTGGATCAGACCTCTCAACTCTTGCGTGTAACCATGACTAGATTTAGCTTAGTTAACCAGTATGTAGACTGAGTTCAGAATGTTTTATAGATGAATATGAAGTGCAAGAGTAGCTGCAAAGAGGAATGTCCCTGTAGCAATCTTTCTGTTGCTTATTTTCACTTAATCCAATGTGATTTAGTCTCATATAATAGTTGTTTTTTAAAAAAGAAAAGAAAAGGATCTTGCTGGTTATGGAAAGACTTTTCCATAAATGCCATAGTTTGGCACAAATTTGAATATTTTATCCATGATTGTTTCTTTAATTATTTACTTGCCATATTTATAGGCTGTTCAATTGCCCAACAACTCTGATTGGCTTCACAAACTAAAAGCACAATACGGGTCATCTTTGGTTAATGACCTTGTTCGGCAACCTTTCAGCCCTATAGTAAAAGATGAAAGTAAATGAAAGACTGTGGTGTGTATATGTGGAGTATGATTATATGTATTTTTTTTTATTATAAAAGCATCTGCTAGACAACACGTTCGCAAAATCTCATTTATGGAAGCTTTGGAACTGCTAGGGACAGGTTTTCTTCGTGGAAGTTCTGGATTTCTACGAACCAGTGGTGATATTCTGAAAGGAACCAGCTCAGTCAGCAGGGATGTCAGAGTTGGAGTTACTCAGGTTTGAGTTACATTACGCTAAAATGTTAAAATATGTTGTGTTTTAACTTTTTTAAAATTTGTGTGACTAATTTGTTATTGTACTAAATACTAGTTCCTGTTGGATATGTTTATGCTGCAGTTAGGGTTTTCCAACATTCTAAAGAAGTCTGAATGGTTTTAATACTGATGAACATTTATCTCAATTGTTAATGAAAACTTGTACATTTTTAATTTAAAAATGGCAGGCATAAATCAAATAAGCAAATGAATACATAAAACGTTAAAAATACATTTAAAATAATACCTTTAAAACACTCACAAGACAGAAATTATGTGAATGGACTGAAGACTATGTTGTCAGCATAACCTTGTGAAAACAACAGATTTGGACCAAAATCAGTGTGGTGGGAGAAGAAAAAAAAGTCCCCCAGTAAATCTCTGGAAAAAAATCCCCCAGTACAGTGGTCCCCAACCACCAGGCCCCGGACCGGTACCGGTCCGTGGATGATTTTGTACCAGGCCGCCTATTTTGTTTGGGCGCCACCATCTTGTTTCGACAGCGCTTGAGAAAGTGTTTCCGGGTGAGCTTGTCGGTCGTCGGTTGGAAAGCGGCGTTTGGGTGCTGAAGGAATCTTCATGCCTTAGTTTCGACGAAGAGGGGGGGGCGGCTTCAAACGAAAAGCCGTCCCGATGGCGGAGTCTCGCGTTACTCAGGAGATTAAGAAAGAGCCCGAAAAGCCCATCAACCGCGAGAAGGTACAAAGGAGGAGTTGAAGGTGGCGAGGAGAAGCGGGGGACGGCTGGCTGGCCTTGGTCGTGTGTGCTGATGCCGGTACCGGTCCGTGGATCGGTCCATGGATTGTACTGGTCCATGGTACAAAAAAAGTTGGGGACCACTGCCCCGGAAAATCTCTATGGAAAAAAATCCCCCAGTATTTCCCTATATAGTCAACAGCTTGGAATGCTGCTGACTTCTCCATTCTGAGCATTCTTCCTTCCTAGTCACATCATATGTTGCTTCTAACATACGTAAAATGTTTATATAAAAACTATGCTGCTCTACCTCTTAGAATGCTGTGAATTCCTCAGTTTCATAATCAAATCATAGAATTCAAAATAGATGATATTCATAAAATACTCAGTTGCTCTCATTAAGTATATACCTAAAGCAATTTTTTTTTACAATTGTTGCTTCATCCAGGGTACGCTGCAATGGTCATGTGAAAAAGTCACTTTTTTCAGGGCCATTGTAACTTTGGTCACTAAATGAGCTGTAAGTTGAGGACTATCTGTATGTATCATATGGGGAAATTATGCATGAACTGTTGCAAGCTACTGGAGAGATTAAGTAGTGCTGCTCTACCTCCTAATTTGGGCATAAATCATTCTTTGTTTCCCCTGTAAAATGTTAATTTTGTTTGAAATCATGTTTTGGCTCCTGAAAGATGGATTTATGTGATAATCTTCCCTTTAAATGTTCTGTTTTAAAGGGGGAAAGTATCACTATACCTTTTATCTACAGTCCCTTTAAGGTTATCCCCATTTCTGTCTTTAAAGGCATGGAAATCAATTTTCGTTTCTTTAAATATATTTATTTTATTTATTTAGTAAACAAATGTGTATGGCTGCCCAGATCACACATAGGGGCTGAATGGCTTACAAATATGAAAGATCACCATCAAACCACTTGTTTTTAGTAACTAGGACAGTATTCTATAACCTCAATACACTGAGATTGCTTTTATTGATTGACATGTAATCTTTCAAGCTGTTCACTGCTTTTATGTTCTGGTTTCTATTGTTGTAAAATCAATTTAGAAAATAGGGGAATATTTCAATAATTTCTAAGGTGGCATTCAAATTTGTAGGGGTAAGAATGGCAGTTTTTATTGAATTGCTCTTGAAATTCAATCTTACCTAAATATAAATTTATATATAAAATTCTACTGATATCATTGTTCTTATTTTTCACTGGAATATTAAGTTTTCAGTTAATCTTAAGTTGGTATTTATTGGTATTTTGATTGAGAGAAGGAATTTTTCAGCATTTGGCTTAATTTGATGAAGTTTATTTTTCAAATAACTACTGCCAAATATTTTCACTTTACTTAAAGAAGTTATAAATGTAAATAAATACATTAAATAACTGCATTAAAATGGTTTAATTTTTTTGTAATATGTGACATAATACATGCAAGTTGAAACTGATTTTAATATTTTTTTTAATCAATTGTTTTCCAGGCATACGTGGTATTTATTTCCACATTAGGAGGAGAATGGCTTGAAAGGAATTTTTGTGCTTTACTTTCCCACATTCTGGATCTGGTCTCTCAGTCTCACCCTAAGGCTATTCAGACACAAATGGACAGTATTTGTAGCCGCCGTTGTATTTCATTTATTCTCCGAGCTACAGTAGGAGGCCTTCTTGGGGAAAAAGCTCGAATTGCAGCTGCCAAGGAGATTTGTCAAACCATCTGGAAACTGAAGAAAGTTATGGGTATGGGACTAACAAGATTATTTGCCAACCCTCCCTCTGTCACCTTCCATTCCACTAATGCTTTAATCACTTCCTAATCTAGTCATATACTAATTTAATCCCCCACACAAACCAAGTCTCTTTGTGGCTTTTTAAAATCATTTTTAAACTTAAAATGTCCTGAATTTTTCCCATGAATCAGTTTTAGATAAATGTGTGGAAAGTAGATATAATAGCTGACTGTAGGCTTGACAGCACAACTTTATATTACACACCACTAATATGTGTATCTGATGATGGAATCACAAGCACAACATTCCACTAATTACAAGCTTTCCTGTTCCCTTTATCAAGTCACGCTGAATTAAACGATCTCATTCATCTTGCCCAGTTTGGAAGGTTTGCTGAAATCTAGATCAGTGGTTCCCAAAGTGGGCGGTGCCGCCCCCTGGGGGGGGGGATGCCTTAGGGGAACGGTAAGAGGCAAGGTGGCCGGCAGGGGGGTGCTAAGAGGTGGCAGGGGGGCGCTGGAGATGGGCCACTCACAGGGCACAATTCAGGGGTGAGATTTTACCAGTTCGCAAGAACTGTTGTTAACGTTCCAGTAGGTTGAAGAACCGGCAAAAAGGGGCCCTGTCTGACCCTGCCCCCTCCTCCATTTTCTGCTGTCAGTCCTTATTGCGCATGCATGACATTGCGTGCATGTGCAACAATCGCTGACAGCATTTCCCGCCCACCCCACCCCACCCAGTCCTTATGTAGCACATGTGTGCTCGTTTCCCATTTTCCTGCCCGCCATCGCTACCAGCACCAGCCAGCCCGCCCGCCCGCCTGCCCTACCTTCCTACCACCATCTGATCTAGGTGAGTTACACTCTGCAAGCCCACTCCAGCTTTCCTCCACTTTCCCGACGTGCCTTCTGGATTTTCTCTGCTTTCCCGACATGCCTGCCTTGAACGCAGCGGCGGCGGGATGTTTGAAAAGGGGAGGAAAGCCAGAGTGGCTTTGCTCTCCTTTTCAAATGTCCTATCGCAGCTGCATTCGAGGTGAGGCCCCACAAGCTCACCCCATTAAGCTCCTTGCACCGGAGTGTGCAGCAGTCAGTGGGGTGAACCTGAGAGAGGGAAAGAGAGAGAGAGAGAGAGAAAGAAAAGAAAGAGAAAAGGGACAGAAAGAAAATGTGACAGACAAAGAAAGGGGGATGGAAGGAAGGGACAGAAAGAAAAAGAAATAAAGGAGGGGGGAGGGAGGAGAAAGATAATGAGATATCTATTCTAGTCCAATCACCTGCTCCAGCAGGGTTAGAAGGGAGTGTGTGTGTTTGTATGTGTTCTTGTAATTTACCAGTACATTTTGGTTTTGCCTTCTTCAGAATTGGCACTGTAATACATTGGGGAAAAGTAATTTTTTAGGGTGGAGGTCTGGTCCAATGGATCCTGTTTAAGCCTCAACAAAAAGTGAGAGCTTCCTGATAGTCTTGACCATGTTTTGTCCACAAAGCCTTTAATTAATAGAAGCCAAAGGTGTTTCAATGTGCTGGCAAAGATGCTGGCAAAGATGTTTCAGTATGGGAAAGGGCCTCTATACTGGACCTCATTTCAATCTTATGCATCAGCTTTCTCTGTCTCTCTCTGTCTCTTTCTCTGTCTCTCTCTCTGTCTCTCTCTCCCCTCCCTCCCCCACTCTTTATTTGTCCCCTTTCTTTCCCTTTTCCCTTTTCTTCCTTCTTTCTTTTCTCTCTCTCTCTTTACCTCTCTCTTTCTTTTCTCTCTCTCTCTTTCCTTCTCTCAGGCTCACCCCATTGATTTGGTGCACCACTCCACTCGGACATAAAACAAATGAACAAAAATCAGCAAAGCATCTCTGATTAGATTCTATTCACTACTAGAATCTAATCAGAGATGCTTTGCCGATTCCTCTCAGCAGCAATTCAGTTCAAAGACGCATAGATGAAATGGCTGAGAATGTGGAAGATGTACTACGGACAACAGACTTTGCATTACACCTGAATCAACTTTGCCAGGCAATGAATCTTTGCTTCTTGCTTATGTGCACTTTATTAAAGACGAAAGTTTGACTCGAGTTATTTGCGAGGCAACTAAATACAGATACTAAAGGGGAGTCAATATTTCATTTTGTTGAGCAGTTCTTCAAAGACAAGGAAATTCCATTAACCAACATACTTGCTTGTGCAACTGATGGAGCACCATCAATGACTGGTCGCTACCGTGGGTGTGTTGCTTACTTGAAAAAAGCAGTGCCAAATGTCTTTACCAATCACTGTGTCATTCATCCCCAACATCTGGTTGCAAAAAACCTCAGTGATCGCTTGAACAAGTCATTACACACTGTCATTACTGCAGTGAACAAAATTAAAGTACATGCTCTCAAGGATCGACTATTCCGAGAGCTCTGTGTTGAGAATGATGAAGATTTTGATCGTTTGCTGCTTCATACAGAAGTTCGTTGGCTATCAAAAGGAAACTGTTTGAGACGCTTTTTACAATCTTTTTGACACTGTTGTGGAGTTTTTTGAAGGCAAGAATGCTTTGCTCAGTGATGAACTCAAAGAGATCAGGCATGACATTGCTTATTTATCAGAACTGTTTACAAAGTTCAATGAAGTGAATTTGCAGTTGCAAGGAAATGAAGTCAATCTTATTAAGGCCAAATCTGTCATCTCTACATTTATTTCGAAGTTAGCTCTATTCAAGCCAATATAGGCCGTCACGAGCTATACCAATTTCCAAGCTTGTCTGAGCTAGAAAAGAAAGGTGGGATACAAGATGATGATCTGCAAGTTTTTTGTGACCACTTGGACATGCTGCATAAAGATATGTCTGATCGGTATCAGGATCTTTTGATGGAAATTCCAGATTGGGCGATAAATCCATTTTTAGATACTAAGGAAGATGGGATAGTGGAGGAACAACTAATAGAACTGAAAAATGACATTGAGCTGAAGCCAAAGTTTAAGAAATCGTACCAAGAGTTTTGGTTACAGAAGGAAATTTCTGATCACTATCCTGCACTAAAAGAAGCTCCTTGTTGCATTTCCAACATCATATTTGGTGGAACGTGGTTTCAGTGTGGTCATCCAACTTCTCTCCAAGCAAGAAATCGACTCCAGATTGCTGAACGTGGTGATTTAAGACTCCTGCTAAGTGACTTAAAACCAGACATTAGGAAACTGGTATCAATTCACCAAGTACATCCATCGCATTAGTAACTGCTTCACTGTTCAGTAAATTCTTAAATTGATAAATGACTATCAGACTTTGAAAACCTGGTATTACTGGATCATGTTCAACCATTTTGTTGAATTAACATTAACTTAAAAGATTTTTAAATTGGATTTTGAATAAATGTGCAATTAATTGTTACAACTTTGAATTTTACTGTTACTATCTTCTTTGGTGGGTCATGCAAACCGCTATTCCGAATAATGTTGTTTATTGGGGGTGGGGGTGGGGAGCACTGAGGATGAGTTTGTAGCACCAAGGGGGAGGTGGACTGAAAAGAAAAGAAAGAAAGAGAAAGAGAGGGAGGAGAAAGTGAATGAGATATCTAGTCCAACCAGCTGGGTTAGAAGGGAGTGTGTGGGTGTGTGCGTGTGTGTGCGTGTATGTGTGTGCATGGCTGTCAAAACTCTAAAAACAGGTCAAGTAGCTCTGGAGAGGCCAGTCATAAATTAGAACAGGTTGCTAAGCAACCTGCCATTAAGTGAGGACCACTTGTATTTGGTTTGCCAGTCACCAAACCATGCCCACCCAGTCACATGACCAGCAAGCCACACCCACCCAGTCACATGGCCAGTAGGCCATGCCTACCCAGTCATGTGACCAGCAGGCCATGCCCTCAAATTAAGCCACGCCCACAGAAATTCGAATCCTGCCCCTGGGTGGGGGGGGGGCACTGAGGATAAGTTTGTAGCACCAAGGGGGCGGTGGACTGAAAAAGTTTGGGAACCAAACTTTTTAAAAGGTAAATTGTTGCAGTCTTATTTATTATCTTAAACAATTTTGCAGATGATAGAGAGAAATTACAATTATTACCAATAATTTATCTGTGGTTTACTGTATATCTAGTCTGAAGTGTAGCCTCATTTTACTCAAAAATATGTGTCAGCCACCTATCCCTGGCTTTTACTCACTTCTTTTATTAACATAACATTTTCTATTATCAGATGCTGCAGTGAGTAACTGTAATGTCGAAACCCATATTGGTACAACAGAGGTAATAATAAACCAGCATATGTTAATATGTGCTCTAGAGGAGCTTGGAAACCTCATACATGGCTTAGGTTCTACTGCTACACCTGTTCTGCAAGATTCTAGTACAGGTAATACCCTCATAGAGTCTTAAGCTATAGGACAAATAATACAAAAATAGGTGGTGCTACCACAAACTGCTTCAGGATGTATTCTACGCAAAGGGTGTTTGGATAGTTCCAGCAGTCTTTCTTTTAATAAATTAAAATATTTTGTATAAATTTTGAATAATCACAGATTATAGGGAATCTATTGGGAACATGTTATCAGGATCAGTTCTTAGTTTAGCGATGAGAGGGAAGACTGCATTTTTATATCATTTTGAGATTTCAGAGTGTTTCACACAGTGTACATAAGGACTGTGTCACAATGAGACAGCAGTTAGTGTAATTTAAGTAATTTCATAAAAAAGCCAAGAATATTGCACCCAGTTAGTAATGGGAGACAAGCAAGAAATCCCAGACTAGGTGGATTAAGAAGCTAAATAATCTCCTGAGGGAAAGCTTTAATAAACCATTTTTATAATCTTGCCAAGAAAACAATATAAATATGTCTGGGTAATTACCCCAAAATGGCTCAAATGAAAGGCGGATTTACATATAATTAAAGCCACAGTTCTAGGTCATCACCATCCTGATTCACTTATTGCAGAATTCTTGGGAACACTTTTTAAGAGATGTTTGTATAAAATTGCAGTTTTGCTGTTGAAGTGGAATTTATCTTTCTTTTTGCAACACATTGCCACAAATACTCTGCCGGTGATGACGTAGTCAGGAACAAGAATCTCCCTAGCTCTTCTTGGCATGCCTCCTGGACACCTGGTTTGCACTGTGTGTAGCTTCTTTACCTTTATCAGTCTCCCAGAAAATTATGACAATTCTGTAGAGGTTCTTTTTTTAGCTTACAGTGGACATATAAGGGCAAAAAGTGGAAGCTCTGTTGATTTACTGTCTCAGTAAGCATTCTCGTATGTGTTTCTAATTTTGTAATACGTTTGATTTTCCAGGAGTCCTGGATGCAGTAATCTCCATTATCCTTCATCCCTGTATTTCTGTTCAGCTAGCAGCAGCATGGTGCTTACGATGTATTGCTGTAGCATTACCCTGCTATCTCTCTCCACTTCTGGATAGCTGTATTGAGCGCTTGACAGCAATGAAATCCTCCCCAGAAGCAGTGACTGGCTATAGTTTTGCCATTGCTGCTTTATTAGGAGCTGTCAGAGAATGTCCTTTAGGAATTCCGCATGGCAAAGGGAAGGTAATTATTAGAACTGTTCATCTGGTATTGGCTGCAGTGTCACAATTATTTTCTGTCACTTCTGTGCAGCTAGAATACATATTTAAATAATGTGAGGTCATTATTTTGATAAATGAATTATTGTTTGTTTTATGTTATGTTCCCTAACTTAGCTTTTTAAAGTACTATATCAAATTCTGCAGGGAAAACCTGTCCACGATGAAGTTCTATATTCAGAAACGTGTAACATTTCACATACTGTAGCTCAGTTGCTTCAGTTTTACAAATTATGTTTCACAGAGTACATGAACCAGTCATAAATACTTTAATAATGAAACTCTTACTGCTGTTTAGTTATTCTATCTGCCTATTAGACATGTGCGAAACATTTGCAAGAGGTGATTTGTAGAATGTGTCAGAGTGAAATAGCCCGCCTCAAAACATTAATACTTGTTTTAGAAGAGTGTGCAAAGGCTCACTTATTACACGTGCCAGCCCAGAGAAAACTTCTGCTTGGTTGCTTGTCATGTGCAGATATTCTTCTACTTATGTCTGAAGTTACAGCAATTGCATTTTGCAGTACTTGTCCCTCAGTTTATATGTACAGTGTCCCATGATTACATGACTGTGATTACATGACTGTGATATTTGCTGAAAACCTGCTGTTATTTCTGGGGTTTGGCAAAAATGCCCAATGGGTTATTATGGATTCACTTAACAATCGTGGGGATTCGCTTAATGAATGTCATAAAAAAAGTCATAAAATTGGATTGGTCACATGGTGACCTGCTTTATGACCATTATGACTTACAGCCGTAATAGACAGATTCCCTTTGGTTATAAGAAAAGAACTACGTGTAAAGTGATTGTAAAAGTATATTAACATACAAATACACAGGGTCAGCAATTGAAAGAGCCAGGCAAACCTGAGATTTGGAGTGAATAAAGTGAACAAAGCAAGTGACAGTGTGTGTATAAAAGGAGACAATAATAGAAGAGTCTGTAGTATCTAATAATTCCACTGTGCTAATAATATAGAATTAAACCTTGCCATATTGAAATTATTCCAGGTGACTAAAGATAATTTTGTTTGATTTTTAACGTGGTGTGAAGACAAACATAATGGTTTGAAAATTGTGATTTTTTGTCTCTGCACAATGTGAATTGATGGCTATTGTGTCTTATCTAACACATCTTGCTTAAAACAAATCATATCCAATTATGATTTACAAAACCCAGGCAATGCATAGTGTGCTTATTGGTTGTAGATGACAATTTCACTGTATCTGAGGAAGTAGAGTCTAGTTCATAAAAAATTATGCGACACAACATATTATCATCTTCAGTTTCATGCTCACAAGGAATAACAATTCTAGAATTTATTCCATGTATTGTATTTACACGAGAAAGTTAATTTGCAGAAGTAGTGTATATACTTCTCTTCATAAGAAATTAATTTTGAATTTCAGCTCTTAAAATAGTGAAAATGTTTGTTTTCATATAGGTTGTCATGATGGTAGCTGAGGATCTTTTGCGTTCAGCTTCTCAGAATAGTCGGATTTCAATACAAAGAATGCAGTCAGGTTGGCTTTTGATAGCTGCTTTAATGACATTAGGTAAGATTATTCACCTATATATCTTTATTTCTTTATCATAAAAGTTAACCACTTCCGTACATCTTATCTGATGTCACTTTGAATATATATGAACAAGTTCTAATTGTTTCATAGCTGTAGAAATATAGTTAACTTACATTATTACTTCGTTGTCATAGGCCATAGGGAATTATCTTTTCCATTATAACAAATACACAAATTATATCAATAACATGTATGTTATATATGAATCATAAGCAAACAACCATACTTTCAAGGGTGAAGTAAACAGTTTAAAAAACAAATATGAATATGTGGATTAAAGATAATTTTGGTTTTTTTTCCAGCCCTTGCAAAACATTCATGTAACATGGGACTATAAAGTATTGTTTTCCACAGTGTCCTCTGTACAGTTTATGGGAAGAAGAACATGAGAACAATGCAGAGGAGAATTTTAGTCCTGATTGGGATGTTAGGGTAGTTTTCCCGAACACAATGGAACGATAAGGCAATGGAAGAATAACCAATGATCTTTATTTTCTTCTTGTATTGCTAACATTAATAGTCTTTACAACCACTCATTCAGCAGCTGTTCAAAGTTATAACAGTGCTGAACAAAGGGGGCTTACAACTGGTCCTTGGAGTTCCAGCTGTCACAGTATCCCCATTGTCACATGATTGCAATCCAAGCACTCAGTGTGTGGCTTATGAATATGTGAGCATAATCATATGTTACTTGCTTGCTTCGCTCATGAAAAGTCAATGGGGGATGGGGAAGTCAACAAGAAGTCAGAAGTCATTCCCACCATTTTTTGTCATAGCAACTACCCATGTTGTCCCTACCTCCCTGAGCATCTTGTGCATCTGTTTTGGCACCTCCGCACCTGCCTGTAACATCCTTACAACCCCCATCCTCTGCCTGGGCATCTTCCTTAACAACCCACAAGGTCCTGGGGTTACAGTGGCAATCAGGACTGCAAGATTGCTATCACTAAGCAATGCAGTCACCTTTATGATCGCATTGCTTAGTGATGGAAATTCTGGTCCCAGTTGCTGTCATAACCAAGGACTGTCTGACTACAATAATTCATAGTGGGTGAAATCATTGGGTGCGTAATAAAAAAATATTTTCACAGATCTGAACATTTCCACTTCTCCATTTGCAATTCTTCATACCCATCAAAGTTTGCTTCAAAAGGTCCCTTCACTTTTCAGAGTATTTTGAAAGGGCACACAGGAGCTTCAGGATGAAGGGAAAATAGAATACTTTCATTAAAGAAAATGTTTCAGTCAATACCACCTACAAAAAACATTTCCAATCTTAAAAATAATAGGTCCTGCCGTGGTCCAGCATCATCTTCCTAGAGTGCTGTTATTATGGAAATGTGCATTTCCGGTATGTCCTAAAGACTTAGAAACTGAGAAGAAACGTGGTGATTCGTTTACATGGCAAGTGACACTGGAAAGCCGAGCAGGTGCTCTCTGTGGTGGGTGAAAATCGTGGCTCTTTATACTTCCACTTTTTTTGAACTTTCAGTAGCAATAAAAATAAAGAACGGTCTTCTTTTTTCTCCATTGATTTCCAGTTCCAGATCTTTAATAACACTTTTTACACATAAATATCTAGACTATGAGGTAATTGTAGCTTATTTGGTTACAAGTATAAAATTTTATTTATTGCTATATTACATGCGGACATTTGGTGAATAAGAGAGGTACTAACTACTAATCAATACTAATCTTGAAGATTAATTTTTAACTTAATGTTCTGATATATTATACTATCAGACTGTTTATTCATTATTCAAGCATTGGAGATAATCTATCTCTTTCACTACTTCTGGATGAAAAGTAGTGAACATCTTGCTACATATTTAAGTATGTAGAATCGTTATCCTTTATATTCCATAGTACAATAGTATTATTTGTGGTTTCAGAATTGCATGTATTTATATACCATCCATCTCAAGACTGTGTTCCAAATATATCAATTAAGTATAATTTACTATAACATTCTTCTCTTATTATTTTTTCTACTTCTTTCTATAAGAAGATTGTATTATGATTTGTGTATATAGACTGATGTGCAATCAATATGCTTTATTCTCAGCTATCAAAAGCTTTATTCTCTATTGTGGAGGACTCCTTACAGACGAAGTGATTCAAAGATTGCTTCCTCCTGTCCCATGTGCTGTTGATTTACTGACACAGTAAGTAATAATATTTTTATCTTCATCCTCAATCAACATAAAGTAGAATTCAGTGAGAAAATTACAGCCATCCCATTGTGATAGTATAGTCTACATAATATGATAACTAAGATTTAATTTACTAAAGGAAACTATAAAATCGTGATATTATTAACATTGTAAGATTAATATCATGAAGAGAAGAATGAGTACAGAATAGTATAATTTATATAATTTGGTTGCTAATGTATACAGATAGTTATTGACTTACGACCACAATTGAGCCCAAAATTTCTGTTAAGCAAGACATTTGTTAAGTGAGTTTTGTCCCATTTTACAACCTTTCTTGCCATAGTTCTTAAGTGAATCACTGCAGTTGATAAGTTAGTAAGCTGGTTGTTAAGTGAATCTGGCTTCCCCATTGACTTTTGCTTGTCAGAAGGTCACAAAAATCACATGATCTTGGGACACAACAACGGCCATAAGTGTGAACCAATTGCCAAGCATCTGAATTTTGATCACATGATCATGGGGATGCTTCAAAGGTCGTAACTGTGAAAATTGTCATGTCACTTTTTTCAGTGCTGTTGTAACTGTGAACGGTCACTAAGTGAACTGTTGTAAATGGAGGACTACCTGTACTTAGTGCTGAAAAAGGAATCTTGCAACCAGTTCTCAAATTTTCAGCCGTCACAGCATCCCCATGGTTATGTCATGATGATTCTGGCACATATTTATGAGGATCACATTATCCCACAATCACTTGATTGCTATTTGGCTTCTGACTTTTGACCAGCAAAATCAATGGGGAAGCCAGCAAAAAGTCACAAGCCATGACATCATGCTTCTGACCTGCAGTGATTCACTTATGACCACAAAAAAAACTGACAAACTGACATAAGTCTAGCACAGTCACATGATTTTACTTTACAACTGCATTGTTTAACAATGGAGTTGCCATTCCCAGTTGTGACTGAAAAGTGAGTGTTCTGTGTTTTAGTTTTAAATACAGTGGTCATTTGCATGTGTGTTTATCAGGATGATGCAGTGAACTCGATTGAAAGGGGGGAAAGGCATAGTGAATAAAGAGAATGGCCTTGAAGGACTAAGGCAGCAATCAATAAAAGAAACTTGAGCCCAGGTCAAGAATGTAATTTGCAAAAATGCCTCCTATACCCTCCTGCCCTTCTCCTGAAAATAAAAGAGGCAGGAAGGGTAGCATGAGCAAGATTTTATTATTATAACTGTTCTGATTAAAGCATTTTTAGATCTACAGTATATCTTAGTACTTATAGGACTAATAAAAGGTGATCTGATGTACATATGGAATGTACATTGTATCTGTTGGCACCACCTTAAATCATGAATGTTTTCTTGGATCAGGTGCTAGCTATGGCTGAGCAAGCAAAGGAAAGGCTACAATTTCTTTAAGGGAATTGACCTTGCTCTGAATCACTTTTTTCCCTTTCAGTTCAGATAGCTGTCCATATGTATGAAATCAATAGCAGATGTATTCATTTATTTATTATATAGGCAGCTCATTTTACATACATGACTCTAAATTAATTGAACAGCTTTTGTTGTAACAGTGGGATTTTTTTTTTAACCATTAAAGGCTTCCTTCACTAAATAAAATGTATGGCAGTGCTTTAAAACTATCATCAGTGACATATAGGAAAAGACTTTATGAACTGCTTGCTTTGTTGCCTCCCAAGAGTTATGAAGGTATGTATAGTTCTTCCCAAAATATTTCTTGTCTTTTAGTAACAAAAGCAGAAGTAAAGCATTGTAGCATAAAATATAATTAATTTGTATATAAGAAAAAGCCTTAACACAGAATGATATTCGAAAAACTTGTACCAGATAAATTCCATGCATAATACTAGTAAAAAAAATAGAGGCAGAGAAAGTATAATTTGAATAAAGGTTAAGATTTTAAAAAGTAGTGTATAGTATTCAAGGAAGGGATAAAATGCTGCCTTGGTAGCCTTTATAAATTCAAGCATGACAGCAGAGCATACATTGTGTGCATTACGATTCAGAATCTAAATGATTATGTGAACTTTTAGCTCTATGGTTTTTCCTCTGCTTTTTGTTTTCAGTATTTTTATTTGGCACATAGAGAATGTAGATGTATGCCTTTGTGCAGTGAAATTCAGAAATAG